AACAGGATAGAGGGAAACTGCCTTGATATAGTAAAGGTAAAGGTAAAAGGTAAAGGCCCTCCCGTTGATCGTCGATTTGCTCGAGCGGGCCCAGTAACGTCTCCATTGGAGACTTTGTTGTTACTGTGTCTGGCATATCGAATACTCTCGGTAGCTTGTCGGGCTCTCCGAGAGGGGCGGAGGAATCGAACTCGGGTCGGCCATGTTGGCCGCTTGTAAGGCGAACGCCCTACCCGCTGTGCTATAGTAAACGTCCTATAAAACAAATCCACAGATAGCATACTCTGTGATGAAAAATCAAGACTTTCATCTTAGATTAGACAAAAGGCAAGTATATCCAATCTCACCCATATTACTCAACCTGGTATTAGAAGTCCTAGCTATAGCAATTACGCGAGAAAAATAAATGAAGTGGATTTAATTGGAAAAGAAACTAATACTATTGGAAGATAACAACATGCTATAATATGTACAAGGCCTTAAAGATCCACTCAAAACTCCTGGAAACAGCATATACCAAGCAATATTGTAAAACTACTACCAATGTATACCAAGTAATTCTTTAAATTAACTGTATTCAAACCTGAGTGCTATTGAAATAAAAGTAGACTCTCAGACCAATGGAATAGAATAAGAGCTGAGATTAGAAACACAGTGTCCAGCAGCAGTTGAGGGGATCAAAGCAACCGTGTCAAATATAAACGACAAAATACTACTTGGCTGTAAGTAAAGATGAAATCTTGCATTTTGTTATAAATTGAATGGCAAAGTGCAATATCAAGCACAGTGGTTCAGAAAGATAAACACCAAATAAACTGATCTGTACTACTTAAATAAAAAAAAAACAAGGGAAGAGACTATATCCAATGGAAAAAAATTCTGAAGCTATGCCAAAATAAATAAATTTGCCAACAGGAGAAGGGATAATGTTCGGGAGAGGATAGCAGATGAGAGGAAACCTAGGGCAAGTGGTGGAGGGACATTATTGCCATGGCGGTGGGTGTGGTTCAGCTGCTCTGAATGACTAAAACATAAATACTATAACTATCTTAAACTATGATAAAGTAAGTAAGTAAGTAAGTAAAGGCCCTCCCGTTGATCGTCGATTTGCTCGAGCGGGCCCAGTAACGTCTCCATTGGAGACTTGGTTATTACTGTGTCTGGTATATCCAATACTCTCGGTAGCTTGCCGGGCTCTCCGAGAGGGGCGGAGGAATCGAACCTGGGTCGGCCTTGTTGGCCGCTTGTAAGGCGAACGCCCTACCGCAGTCAAACGACCTGTCCCTAGGAAACAGGATGGATTACACAAAACAACTGGTCTCCAGTCATCTACAATCCTCTTAAACCACTGGAACAGAAGCAAGATACTCCAAGGCATATCCAGAACTAGGAACCAACATTATTTCAGTGCCCTCTCCAACTTGCTAAAAAAAAGCCATTTAGATATTTTTTTCTTAGAAAGAAAGAGCAAATTGTTAAAGTAAGCATCATTCACCCAAAGCTAAAACCAGAGCACCCTGGAGGCCAGGTGGTGTTTATGTAAACCTGGCCAAAGAGACTTCAGTCCTCCTAGAAGAGAAATGACCATCATCAAGCTGGCCACGTGCATGCTATCAGAAACACCTGTGAGACTCCCAGAGCCAGTTAGCATGGACAGCCTGTGTCCTCCTAGGATCTATTCAGGCCCCAAACAAATATTCAGTGACTGAGCCCTCAGGCTCCTGTGCAAACCCACCTCCACACACACATTACCCAGCTACACGCTGGGGAGGGTGTGTGTGTGTGTGTGTGTGTGTGTGTGTGTGTGTGTGTGTGTGTGTGTCTACAGGAGGAGAAACAATCACCATTCTGCAAGACTAGTCACCATCCAGACCTGGTCAAAACAGCTCACAGATGCATCAGGGCACGCATGTTTTTCAACACTTGGTGCCAGATTATTCTTGCTCAAATGTGATGCCAAATGCATTGCCAAACAGTCCAATGTCAGACCACAGGGCAATCCTCAGGTCCGCTTAAACTCATCACTCTGGTGCTCCCCAGAGCTGGCAAATTCAGTTCTTTTGATACCTCTCAAAGTTTGCAATTAGTCATTCAAAACCACAGCTCTTCTAGCTGCTTCTCACCTCCAAAATTCAGGGGAGTGTAAAAGAGCAGCCACTTCCGGGTATACCTGCAATTGTGAACCTCGAGTCACATTACAAGCTGTTAGGCCCGTATGCTGTAACTGCGGTAGCGGTAACTTGGGACTAGAAATCCTGATGATATCCATGTACACACAAACTCAAAGCCATGTTCACTGTATAGAATTTTAAATAACGACCCACCCCTCGGCACTGCTTACACCAAATCAAGCACAGATCTTCTGCCTAAGGCCTTGTGTAGCTTAAGGAATAACAAGAAATGGAGAAATTAACCTGGATAAAGTCTAGGAGTGACCTCAAACAACATAGAGTTTTAAAATTCCCTGAGAAAGATTGTAAAGCAGCAATTCTATTGATGGTGTGGAATTAAGGAGATCAAAAAAAAGAATTTTAACAAGGGCAGAGAAATAATAAGAATATATGAATGAAAAACACACACAGTAGAACACTGTGCTCGAGAATAGAGTAACTGAACTAAAATAATCCAAGGTAAAAGTTCAACAGCAGAATGGCAGAAGCTAAGGACTAAGTCCATGAGCTCAAGGATGAAATACAGGGGCTGGAGATATAGTCCAGTGAGTCAGGCATTTACATTGCATGCAGCCAACCTGGGTCTGATCCTGGACACCCCATATGGTCCCTCAAGCCTGCCAGTAGTGATCCCTAGCATAGAACCGGGAGTAAGTCATGACAACAGCTAGGGGTGGCCCAAAAGCAAAAAAAAAAAAAATGATTAAAGTAGAAGAAATCAAAAAGAAGAGAAAAAACAAGTTGATAAATGAAGCAAAGGAACACAAATACTGATTGAAAAATAATAGTCTAAAACTTACTCAATATGAGTAACAAAGAAAAAGTTGCAATATATTTAAAATGGCAAAAGAAACCCCTAAAATCTGGAAAAGAAGACTCACATAATTAAAAATATTTTGCCCAGCAAAAAAAAAAAAATCTAATCTTGTTTTAAAAAAACCCTACTAAAAGGAAGAAAATATATACACACAATACCGCAGATAAAGAGTTGATAACCAATATCTCTAAAGCACTCACAAAATCAACAATGGAAAAACTGAACAAGCACATAGATAACTGGGGTGAGGATATGAATAGACACTTCCCCCAAAAGGCACACTGATTGCCAAGAGGCTTAGGAAAAGGTGCTAATTGTCACTCATGCCTAGAAAAATGTAAATCAAAACAAAATGAGATATTATCTCACATCTGTGAGAATGTCACAGATGCAAAAGTCTGGAAACAACCACTGTTGGTAGGGTTGTGGCGAGAAAAGAACCCTTGCCCACTGTTGGTGAGAATGTCATCTGCTTCGGCCTTTGTGGGAAGGAATCTGGAGAGTTATCCAAAAAGAGAACAGAAATGCCATACAATGCAGCAACACCATTTCCTGGTATATATCTCCAAAACACAAAAATATTAATTCAGAAGTATATGTGCACATCGCCACACTTAGTACAATGGTCAAAATATGGGAAGAGCCCATATGCCCAACAAAAGATGGATCAAGAAGTTGTAGCACTGGACCAGAGTACAGAGGGTAGGACACCTGTCTTGCATGCAACTGACTCAGGTTTGGTCCCTGGCACACTCCAGATGAGTCCACTAGGGTGATCCCTGAGGGAAGAGTCAGGGAGTACGTCCTAAGCACCCTAGAGAAGAGGTAGTGGAATAGATACACAATGGAATGTTTTGCAGTTCTAAAATAAAAAACAAAAACTGTCATTTGAAACCACAGTTTTGGAACTAGAGGATATGAAGCTGAATGAGTGAAGTCAGGCAGACAGAAAGGGAGAGAAACAAAATTCTCTCTCTAATATGTTTGATTTAAAAATACACAGAAAAGTAGCAACAAAGGTCCAAAGACAACGTAATGGGAGAACTGACCCACATAACTGAGTTGGGGAGTAGAAGTGAGAGGGGGGTTCAAGGGTCCTTGGGAGAGGAATGAGTTACCCTAGTGAGGGGTTTGATGTTGGAATTATGTACATGAGAAACAAACAGAATCTCAATTAAAATTTTTTCTAAAATTTCTCTAGCTAAGTGAGAAAATATGTCTTCACATTTTTGAGATTACACTGGGGAAGGCGCACCAGGAGGGTCATTAGGATACCAGTGAAAGGAAGCAGATGCCTTAGTGATTGGAATGATATATGCATGAAAAGTGTGTGATTAACAGATTTGTAAATCCTAGTACCACAATATAAGTGGTTTAAAAAAATGACAAATGCTACTTATATATTCATAGGTCTTTAGAAATAGTCAAAACCACAGTACCTGTGAATACCAAGAGCCTACTCACTGTAACTGTATTATTTCAGAAAATAATAACTGATCTGCATATTAGTGAACAGTTTAAAAAATAACTAAGACACTTTTTATTCCTCTGGTGCAATTTAATAAATTGTACAAAGCATGAACACAACCATGGAGATCACTTACAGCAGCAAACAAAATAGTAGTGGGCACTTTATCTTCCTGTTAATTGATTGTCTTTGTTACACAACACTGTCTGGGAAAAATCTAACCATTTTTCTTACTGCAAGTCACAGTAATTATGTCAATATGTGAACAATCTGCATATCTCATCATAAAAAAAGGCAATTTCACAGTAGAAGCATTGTTCTAATTCAGGAAACCGCCATATAAACTTATTAGTCTGACATATTGCAGATAGCTGAAAACCTTTAATTTGAGAGATAATTATTTTTAGCTGATTAATATGCTTCAAATTAAATTCACTGCTTTTAATGGGCCCATCAACTAGACAACCTGGGAAATTAATAAATTTTGCATGCAGTAATCCTTGGAAATTTTTACAGTTGAGCTACACATCATTACAAAGATTACCTTCACAGTAGGCGCTGTCCTCCCGAAGAGCCCGGAAACCATCTCGACAGCTACAAACAGCTCTGTCATTCAGATTTCTGCAGACAGAATTCTCCATGCAGTTATGCCTCTCAGCACAAAAGTCATAGCCTACAGGAAAAAATAAACTATTAATGTAAATAAGATTATGAAAAATATCTTTTCTAATCAATAGCCTCCCTAATAAAAAAATAAATGGCAACCTTTATATATGTGTGTGTATGTATATGTGTGTTTGCCAAAAAGTTTCTTATGATTAACTCAATTCTGTTTTTCATTGCTTTTGACCTCGTACGTGTTTTCTAGGATGTAATATTCTAATTTCGGTTCTCTAAATATCTGAAACAAGGAAGGCCCCCCCGTTGATCGTCGATTTGCTCGAGCGGGCCCAGTAACGTCTCCATTGGAGACTTTGTTGTTACTGTGTCTGGCATATCGAATACTCTCAGTAGCTTGCCGGGCTCTCCTAGAGGGGTGGAGGAATCGAACTCTGGTCGGCCATGTTGACCGCTTGTAAGGTGAACGCCCTACCGCTGTGCTATCACTCCAGCCCTGAAACAAGGCCCTGAAACAGGGCTGAAACAAGGAAAGATTCTTAAATTCTAAAATTTATGATATACAAGAAAGAACTGTAGCACTGCCCTCCTGTTGTTCATCGATTTGCTCGAGTGGGCACCAGTAATGTCTCCATCGTGAGACTTGTTGTTACTGTTTTTGGCATATCGAATACGCCACGGAGAGCTTGCCAGGCTCTGCTGTGGGGGCTGTATACACTCGGTAGTTGTCGGGTGCTCCGAGAGGAACAGAGGAATTGAACCAGGGTCAGCTGCATGCAAGGCAAACACCCTACCTGCTGTGCTATTGCTCCAGCCCAATATAGAAGAAAACAGTGAGAACATATTGAGAATCTATATGAATATTATCAACAGCACTGGGTAATACCCGATGAAATGTGCCTATGTGTAGTTAAGAAATTTAAAAATATCAGATGGGTATACTTTTGTGGGAGACTGAAGTTGGGCCACAACTGGTGTTGCTCAGAGCGCAGTTCCTGTTCTGTGCTCAGGCACACATTCTGATGTGCTCAGGGGGTTATATGTAGTCAGGGACCCAGTCAGGCTAGCGTCACACAAAGCAAGCACTTTTACACCTACACTATCTCTCCAGCACTTCCCCCATTTCCCACCCCGGCCTGGCATGATATTCTTATTTTTTAATTTTTAATACCTGAAAAACACAGTAACAACACTTTCATTCAATTTTTTCCCTATAAATATGCAAGTAAGTCCACTCTAAAAAATGAAAGTTCTTGTGAATTACAAAAATTTAATAGATCCCATCATCTTTCTGAATGGGAAGAAAAAGGGAACATTACACACAGTGATATGTTATAAGCATTATATTATAAACATTATAAACAGTCACATGTAATTTCTTAGGCTCTTTATCCTTTGTGAATAGTTTATTCAAAGATCATCTAAGTTGCTGAAGTGAACACTACAACCCAGACTGAGTGGAAATTTCATGATTACACATCATTTAAGTAATTTCAAAATTGCCTAATGCATAAGCTATTTAGCTTCACACTATTGAATTACTATTTCTGTCTATGTATAGAAGAAAAAAGACTATAATATACCTCATGTACTGTAGAATAAGCTGCCCTCATCCAAGAAGACTCATACTTGAGAAAAGCATAAAGATGGAATTCCTAAATTGTAATTATATCTATCTTTAATAAAATTACACAGAATATGTGACAGTTAAAATGTGGGACAAGCTAGAACAGGCAAGCATATATGGTACAGCAGAATGGTTTGAGTCTATTTGAATTGGTTGGTGCCCATAATGATGATTTTGAATATCATCCCAGAATTAAAACACATTATCCATCATAGTAACTACAATGTACAGTCAATTATAATTTGTAAAGCACGGGCCGCAAAAACATGATGCTATGATGCTCTCAAAGTGCAATTGTGTTATCAAATAGTTAAAATGAATAAGTGACTTATTAAAATTAAAAGAGAATTATGAAGACCAGAAAATTACCTATAGTCAATTTATGGCTAATATACAGCCACCTGTAAAACACTAGACTACATAATATTTGTTTGACAAGTTTCTCACAATCTCAATTTTTCTGATGAAGATTGAACTTGTAAAGTTAAAGAAACAAAAAGAAATTCTTAAGAAGAGATCCTTTCCCCAGGATCTTTTTTCAAAAAAGCTACTGTATAAAAACAACCCTCTCAAGATATATGGAGCATCATATTTGAGATCTCTCTGCATAATTTTGCCTTATTGTTTCAAATAGCTTTTCCATTTTAATTTTTCTTTCATGGCCTGATATCTTTCAAACTCTCTGGCAGGGAGATGGAGATACAGCACAAATGGGTCAAGCTCACAACTAATATGCAGGAAGTTGTTACGTTTGACCTCTGCTCATCAGCACCACCTGTCTCTAGTCCTGCTGCCCACGCTCCAGTGACCTAAGCAGCCTACAAGGCATAAATCCAGTATTCCCAGGACCAGATGAGACTTGGAGCGGTGCCACCAAATTGAAACAAAAAAACAAACAAAATCTAAAAACAAAAAAAACATTTTATAAATTGGAGCAGGCGCAATGGACTGTGGCAGCTCTGGTTGCTAACATACCTGTAGCAGAGGAGAGAAAGCGTACCCTAAAACAGACAGTCCAGTAAGTCAATGTTACTGCCACTTGAAATCAACAAACTATCTGAACCTTTTATTTCCTACCTGTTTTCTCATTGTATTTTCACACTGTGCTCAATCTGTGTCTTTATTGCTTATGCCACTGTCACCTCTACCTATTACAATCTGTTTACAGTCCTGTCTCAGTGCGATGACCCCTCAAATAAGAATAACACACCACACAATGCTAAACTGATGCAAGTCTCAAACTATAATACTATGATCCTACTTTCACTTATAAAGATAAGAAGCATTTTTACTTTTAATTATATGGGTCTATTTTTTTAATCTATCCCAGACACTTAAAGACTGAAATTTTCATCAAATTATAATATTTCAAACCAATACCAGAGAGTTAACTCCTACTGATTCTTCCAATAAAGGATTTAATTGAATCTACTGGTTGTTTTGTAGATTTACACAAAATACCTGATGAAAAAGCTAACGATGGGTAGAAAATTCCGACTCAACTGAAGTGTGTTGTTTCCAATCTATAGGAAACAACTTAAAAGCTAATCTAAGTATGGGTGAGGGGTGAGCAGTATGTCAAAGTCCTGTTCTCCTCATAACAGCATTTCTATTCATCTTAAGTAGGCTTGCAGCAGGGAATCATAGATTTATATCCAGTCTCTACTGGATGATTACTAAACCCTATGGTTTTCTTATGTATAAAATTAGGATATAATTTACTATGCAAAATTTTGATTCAAATGAGATCATGTATACAAAAAAAAAACACTGTAGTATTTGGTAGTATTCAATAAAATTAAATCAATTAAAGTATTACTAATAAACTAAAAACCAAAGTGTTTGGAACTAGCAATGAATAAGGCACTATATATATGTCGTTATTATATAGGAATGTATAATTAATCCAATTTAATCTAGATTTCCTTTCATTTCTTCGTTTGGATTTTAATACCAAGGATAACAGAAATTTTATTCCTTTTGTAAAATTTCTGGATACTTTATTAAATGTAGAGCTTTCTAAAAACTATAAATATAAAGTTTTTCATAACTAGCAGGAAAGAGTGTTTACAAAAAGACATAGGTACGAACAATGGCACTGTCCACTGTCCTCCTGTTGTTCATCAATTTTCTCGAGCGGGCCCAGTAACATCTCCATTGTGAGACTTTGTTGTTACTGTGTTTGGCATATCGAATACGTCACGGGTAGCTTGCCAGGCTCTGCCATGCGGGCAAGATACTCTCAGTAGCTTGCCGGGCTCTCCGAGAGGGGTGGAGAGGTACGAACAATATACATAATAATTATACATCTAGACCAGGAAAAAGACAGTTTTGAGGTGAATTTTGTTTATGTATATTCCTGAGTATGCATGTCCAAACTATCAATCATGATAAAGTATAGCAGTAAATAGGATTCAATGACACTACAAACAGAGAAAGCAATTTCCAATGGAAGAGAATAAGCATGAGAAGGGCTGAAATAAGTCATCTGAATAAAATTATTCTTGTATCTATTTTGTTATTTGTTTTTTGTTTGGGGGACACACTTGGCAGTGCCCAGTAGCCTGACACGTTTGTTCAAGCGTGACCACTAGTTGCGCTAAGCAGTCCACATGAGATGCCAAGGATTCAATTGGGGTCCAGTCAAATGCACGGCAAGAACCTTCTCTCCTACACCCTGTCCAACCCCTAGTTCTGGATCTTTTCCATGGGAGTCCTCACTCTATCACTAGATCTCTGACATATTTGCTAAAATCTTCCAGCAAGATTTCTATGTAGCACTGCAGCACTGTCCTCCCGTTGTTCATCAATTTGCTCGACCGGGCACCAGTAATGTCTCCATTGTGAGACTCGTTGTCACTGTTTTTGACATATCAAATACACTATGCGGAGCTTGCCAGGCTCTGCCATGTGGGTGGGATACTCTCAGTAGCTTGCCGGGCTCTCCAGGAGGGATGGAGGAATCAACCCCTGGTCAACTGCGTGCAAGCCAAACACCCTACCTGCTGTGCTATTGCTCCAGCCCACATATTCAAGTAATTAGGGAAACTTAGCCTGGCCAGTTTTCTCAAATATGAAAAAAGTAGAGAGAGATTTGGAGCTGCTTCTCTATAGGACAGCCAAGTGCAGGGTCCTAGAAAATAGTCTTGTTTGCATTTGATTTGGTACCAAGAGTTGTGGAATCTTATTTTGCTGCAGTTTGGGTTCTGACCACAGGCTGGCCCTTGGCTGGGTAAGTCAGCACTTGATCTCAGCTCTGTCCTCAGGGAATATTTACTATTGTTCAACAATTTATTCTTTCAGATATGGACAAAGTATCTTCAATTGGTGGCCAATCTTACTACATGTCACACATGGTAGTTAACTTAAAATTTAAGTTTGAGGACTTGAGTTCTTTCAGTTTAAAGGTCAAAGAAAACAGAATTCATTTATTTACTACCAGCATTTGATGTAATTAACTAAATCAATATTTATTATGAATCATAAAACAATATTTTCAAGAAGAACAAATTATTTTTAATTTTAGTTTCAGCTTTATAAAAAGCAGTGGTGCTCTCAATCCTGGTTTACACAAAAGAAATTATTAAAGAGCAAGTTTTGTTTTGCTTTTTAAATTATCTCTGTGTTGCTTCTTGTCTTTTAACGGAAACACCAAGGCTCCATTTAATATCAAATATATTACAACCTAAGGTGCACAATGTAAACAGACAGATTTCTTAAATAGTTGATAGTTAAATATAGCACAATATTTTGTAGGTCCAATTCTGAACTTCCCTTTACCTATATCTGGCTCTTTTAAAAAAGAAGTGCATCTTACCCAAATTTTGACCAAACTGACCTTAACTAACTTCTGTGTTTATTTACTTCTCAAATCTCTGAAAACTTCCTGAGTATTTCCCATGATGACCACAAATACGTATCACAATGTGTTATATCTTTCCTCACCTTAATTCAGAGCTTATCTATGCATCTTCGACCTTTGGTTATGATAAAAGTGATACTATGTAAATCCCAAACTTTTGGAGGCACTATTAAGAAGCCTAACTACTACTCTTCTGTAGAAGAGGAATCCTGAGAATTCATGGAGGTGGAGAAAGTTCAAGTTGTGACTTCCCAACATTCCTGCTTAGATGACAGACACATAGTGAATTCTCTAAACTCTAACAGCTCAGGCCAGGTTAAGTGATCCCAGTTAATACTAAGAGCTGCAGAAGAATCACCTGGCTATTTCCTGTCTGAGTTCCTGACCCACAATATTGTAAATAAAATGATTGATGTTTAATGATACACTTCAAGTGTCATCACTTGATCACTTGATACCCCATTATTCATCGATTTACTCGAGCGGGTGCCAGTAACGTCTCCATATATCCCTGTTGTGTGCTAGCATAGCCCAATGGCATCTGCTTGTTCTAGAAACATGCAGAGCCTCAAACCGATCATTCAGGGTCTTGACGAAGAAGTCTGACCATCTTGTAGGTGGGCGTCCACACGATCTTTTGACATCCCAATGTGTATATCTTTCCTCACCTTAATTCAGTCAGTAATGGCTCTAGTCCAGTGGTCATCTCTAAACCTCATTACGTGTACAGCCCATCTGATTTTTGATGCCTTGGCAAATAAGACAGCGTCCCTGATTCTTGAGCATTGACGGAGATCAGAACTCCGGATTCTATCTCTCATTTGAGTGAAACATGATACTCCAAGCATAGCTCTTTCGATTCCTCTTTGAGAGACCCAAATAGTGTTCTCATCGTGTTTTCGTAGGGCGCAGGTCTCTGAGGCAAATGTTAATGCAGGAAGAACAGTGGAATCGAAGAGATGTGCTCGGAGCTGGAGGTTCTTTGTCCTCTTAGTTATTTCTTCTACACTCTTGAAGGCATTCCAAGCCACTCTCTTCCTCCTGCGTAACTCAGGTGCCAGGTCATTCATCATGTTGATTTCTTGACCTAGGTATATATAACTATTGCATTCGGAGATGGTGGTTCCGTTGAGAGTGAATGGAGCATCAGGAACAAGACTATTTCTCATGAACATTGTCTTTTTGAGATTCAGTTGTAATTCGACCTTTCCACACTCACTTGAATTAGTGTTCAAGGGTCATACTAATTGAAAATCACAGAACTTTAGAGAAGCAAAATTTGAGATAGCCAAATAAACACCTAGTAGCAACTCAATTTATCCAGAAATCACCATAAATCCTCTCTAAATGCCCGTTGAGTACACAATTATAGAAGCAATTAAACAAACATAATTCACCTTTTAAAATAAAAGCTTCTAATTCATACAGCACAAAGTTAGGGTTCTTGCTGCCATGTGGTGGAAACCAATTCAAGGTCCAGCACCCCAGGGTCCCCTCACCCTTGGGTGAGCACAGCCACAGTGACCTGTGTAAGTGAACGCACTGCAGAGCTAAATAGCAGACCCTGCTCATGCTCTATCACTGACCCATCTGTCCAGTAGGAAACCAGGCTGAGAATGCCCTAATCCTGAGCACCTAAGCACCACTTAGAAAACTCCAAAAAATAAAAAATAAAATAAAGTAATAGAATAACTTGCTCACTAAAACAAACAAACAAACAAACCCCCGCCTTGCATACAGCTGACCCGGGTTTGATTCTCAGAATCCCATATGATCCTGTGCACCCCCAGGAGTACTTCCTGAGTGTAGGATAACACTGGTTTTACCTTTCTGTCTTGCCACAGGGAGCTTAGGTTTATTGGATTGCGCCCATGCAGTGCTCCCAAGGCACTCCCATTCCTCTGTGTTTATCTGTAACTTTGTGCTCTGCTACCCCAACCGGTCGATCACTTTTATCTCTTAATCAGACTCTGTTAACTTGTAAATAATGCTTTTCTCTTCTCCTTATGTCCTTTGCATAGTTACTTCAGAGCAATGTCCTTTTGTACAGACACAAGAAGACAGTTAATGCTATGCTTTTGTAACTTGGGAGTTAATTGACTCAGAATAATATTCACTCCTGGGCATCTGTTCTCTCAACTTAAGCCTCAGTTGCCCTTACTTCCTAGCACCCAAAAAACAGGGTCCCAGCGAGGGACTGGATGGACCCAGGGCAAGCTGTGAGATACCCTGGCATCAAAACGGACAGGTCAAGTGCCATAATACTTAACTATAAGTTAAGAGCTTGTTTATGGACAAATTCTGTCATGATCCAATAGGAACAACTAGATTAGGACACTGTAGGGTTGGGAAAGATCTCAGCACTGTAGTCTGAGATCTAAGGTGAGATGCCCCCAGGAGAGCCACCCTATAAACTTAATGTATCTCTTACTATGTCGATACAAAATGACTAATATTATTCAGAAGTAAAATTCAGATGAATGTTTCAATGGCCTTGAGTGGGTCTCCTGACTGCAGGCACTCCAGAAGGGCTTTGATATGTTGATTATGCTACTGGACCTGGGTGTGGTGGCTATGGCCAAGGTTTGGAGGGTGTGCGAGACGAGAGAGACCAGAACCGCCAGAGTGTGGAGAAACTAGCAAGGGGGCCAGGAGGAGACGAGAGTGAGGGGCAGTGTGAGACTGGAATGGGGGTCAGTGAGACTGGGGCAAGTGCGTGGGGGGATGGAATAAATGGCATGTGGTCACCAACCAGCCTAGCTCTCGCTCCCTCTATCGTCTGCCCTTGGCATCTGCCATCCCTTGTGGGGAAGTGGCCTGAGACCACCAAACACAGGCAGCGAGAGAGTGAGTCACGGGCTTCTTATTCATTTTACGAATACACACTGAGTGCGCAGCCACGCGTGAGCCCTGAGCATGGAGGGTGTGGGTCAAAACCAAATAAGAAATATCTCTATTTCACACCATTCTGATGGAAGCAGGTAGCTAGAGAAGGCCCCTTCCCAAGGCAATGACAGTAAATCTCCTGGGAATAGCCCTGACCTCATGGAGAACTGGTACCAGTCTGTAACAGAGCCAGAGGAGGCTGAACCAACCCCCTCCAGCAGAAACAAAAGTCAGGAGAGGAATTTCAAAGAAGACCATCACCACTCCCAACCCCTGGGTAACCTCTCTAGCAACGAACTTTTACCTAGGTAGAAGCCCCACATGGGGGTAGGTTGGAGAAAACCGCTAAAGGCCACCTTGAACAAAGAAAGGGCGCATATGCTTCCTGAGCCCATGTACTGCCTGCGCCCGTGTGGCTGAGCACATGTGATGCCTGAGCACATGTGTGGCCCGCATCTCCCCTCTTGAGATGTGGACTTTCATGCTTTCATGTCTAATGCTGGGATGTGTGTAGGGGCTCTCTCCGCCCTTGGAGAAGGCCAGGTTCTCTTGAGCACGTTACTCTCCACTCTCTCCCACTCTCTCTCTCTCCCTCCTTCCCTTCAAAAACTCTAAATAAAAACTGTAATTTTCACTGCTCATTTACTCCTGAAATTCCTTTCTTTGAGGCGAGACAAGAACTCAGCAACCCTGGGTCCCGGGGGGGCAGAGCCAGGTGGGGAGAAAGTGACCATCTTTCTCCTCCCCGCTTCACATAAGTCACCCGTGGGGCCCACCGACATCAACTTGAATTAGTTTCACACAATGACTCACGTATCTTAACACATTAAACAGTTCTTACCTTTACAAACTTTGCAACAGCTGTGAGACAAGGTTATCTGATGAGACTCGGGGCAATCCAAAGCGGGACAACCCGAGCTCTCAACCAACTTCATGGTCTGGTCCTGTTAGACAAGAGAAAATAAATGTCTTACTTCTGGTTCTGTGCTTTGGGTTCACTCCTGGCAGTGCTCACGGGACCATATGTAATGCGGAGGACCAAACCAGGTTGGCCTCATGAAGGCTGGTGCCCTATCCACCGTACTATCTTCCCCCTCCCCTCCCCGCCTCAGACATTGTAACTTCGGATTTGCTAAGGAAATTCTAGATTAGAATGTTCTGTATCTTGGAAGGCTCTTTTAACACAAGAGTAAAATTTTCATTCTGTGAACTTTCTGCTGGTCACAAGTTCACTTTTAACTGACATTAAACCAGAATACCTTCCAAATGGACAGCTCTAGAGCTGAAATTGGTCATTCTGACTTTGGTTGAGAATATTTTTTTGTAAATTAAGATGACAAGTGTAACAAAGATACAGATTTCATTAGACAAATAGCTCATTTTTTAATGAAACATAAAAGCTATTTACTATATACATTTCAAGCTGTTTTTATATATTTTTCTCAGAAATATTATTTTTTAAACAGTAGATATATGATGATAGTCACTCACATGACTCCTGATATTAAAACATTATTTCCGCAATAGCACATTATGAAGAGCAAAAAAAAGACAAGACAAACTAGCTCTTAAAATTCTCATTTTCAAAGTTTTCTATGCTGTTTTAAAGAGAATTGCACAAAGAGTTCTTATGAGGAATTTGAGGAACTCCCTTAAAACTAGAAGAAAATAGAAGGTATTATGTCTATTTTAAATGAATGCCTACATATTCTCTGGTGCAAAGTTAGCGCTTAATAATTTCCCTGAACTGTCCTCCAGTTGTTCATCGATTTGCTTGAGTGGGCCCAGTAATGTCTCCATTTTGATACTTGTTGTTACTGTGTTTATCATGGGTAGCTTGCCAGTCTTTGCCGTGCGGGCGAGATACTCTCGGTAGCTTGCCGGGCTCTCTGAGAGGGGCGGAGGAATCGAACCCAGGCTGGCTGTGCACAAGGCAAATGCCCTACCACTGTGCTATTGCTCCAGCCCAATTTCCCTGAAAAAATGAATAAATTAATGTAAAAATAATTGTATGTCTTGAAACTGAAGTCAATAAAATTCTTCGTAAAGAGAAATCAAAAGACCAAATACGTTACTAATAACTTACAGGAGAGTAAATGTTTGATGTCTTTATTACCAATCTCCAATCTCTTAGAAACAAGGGTCATTTTATACATATGACCCTTGTCATATTATACATATAAGTAGACTTATATGTAGTAGCACAAAGATAATAAAATAATAAAATATTAGTACACTTGAGCTTAACAGTATGCAGATAATAAAATAATAAAATGATAATGAGTAAATAAAATATTAATAAAGTAATTTATCTAATATACATTAAACTGAGATATTTTTAGCATATGGAAATAAATATAGAAAATGTATTCATCTTTTATTTGTATCATTTTCTTGCTGGTATGTATGTGAAAGTGGACTTTATTCTTTGAAAAATTCTGGACTGTAACTATTGCTACACTGAGGAAAAATCAAACTTTGAGTTTCTTGATTGAGATTCTTTGATTTATAATATTGTTATTGATGGTTTCCAGATAGAAAACATTTATCAAAGGTCTCGAGGTGTGGCTCAGAGGCAGAGCACCCAGCTTGCATGTGTGAAGCCCTGGGTTTATTCTTCAGCTCTGCAGACAACAAATAAAATGTAGAACTATAAAAATCATAATTGGAGTTCGCGTCCTATTTCTTTTGGATGGAACTACACTACAAAAGAGCAAACGGTAACTTTTGTCTGAGTAACTAAAAATCGCAATGCTGATTTATTCACCCAGTTTTTACTGAGCATCTGAAAGATCTCTTTTTTAACTGAGCACCTAAAAATAATCTATCTTATTAGATAAAAAGACATAAAATAGCTGGTCGACAAGCATAGCGAGCAGAGCCAGGGAAACTGAAGACCCCCCCTTTTCAGCTGGGGTGTCCTCTGTGAGCCCCGGGAAGTTTAGGACTGACCAGAGCTGAATTGCAGACCCTTCTCAGGCAGCTAATAAATTAATGTAAAAATAATTGTACGTCTTGAAACTGAAGTCAATAAAATTCTTCGTAAAGAGAAATCAAAAGACCAAATACGTTACTAATAACTTACAGGAGAGCAAATGTTTGATGTCTTTATTACCAATCTCCAATCTCTTAGAAACAAGGGTCATGAAGGCAGCTAAGTGGTTCCTCCCCGCCAGGCACAGCAGCGACAGTGGGCCTGGCATTCCACTGTCCAGCAGTTGCCCAGCAAGCAGAGCTGGTGAACCTAAAGACTGGACACACATCTCAGTCTCCATTACCTAATTCTGACAGGACAGCCTGGCTATCCTAAGCAAATTATGCCAATAGTCCTCTTGTCTATTCCAATCAAAATAGTCCCCAAATGCGCCAAAAGAATGGTGAACACAAGAATCTGAATGAGCCTAATGTAAAAGAACACATCCACTGAAGCTGCACTAGTGGCCCCACATAAGACACAGAGGAGCACCCAAGAGGTAATTCTTTTTCTTTTTTTTTTATTAGTGAAACACCATGAGGTACAGTTATAGACTTACAAATTTTTGTGCTTGGGTTTCAGTTATCCAATGATCGAGTACCCATCCCTCCACCAGTGCCCATCCTCCACCACCACGGGTCCCAGAATCCCTCCCACGCACCCCCCCACCCCCGTCTCCCCATCCCACCCTGCCTCTGTGGCAGGGCATTTCCTTTTGTTCTCTCTCTCTCTCCTTTTGGGTCCTGTGCTTTGCAAGAGAGGCATTGAGTGGCAATCATGTTTGGTCTATAGTCTATTTTCATCATGCTTCTCCCATCCTGGGAGGATCCTCCCAACACCCTTTATTTGGTGCTCCCTTCTCTGTCTGAACTTCCTTTTCCCCTAGCACATGTGGCTGGCCTCCAAGTCATGGAGCAAAATTCCCAAGAGGTAATTCTTGAAGGGGGAAATAGGAGACCACTATCAACAGAGCCCACCTAACATCGTCCCTTGCAGCAACGGGGAGGGGGGGGTCACTGATAGTGAAATGGAAGGACCCAGCTCCATACTACCACAGCAACATGAAGAAATAGCGCAGATCCCCACCACGAGGAGTGGATGAAGAAAAGAGCCCTGAAGCCTCAACAGGGAATATCCTCAAATACAATCTCTCCAATAAAGACTTCAGAGATAAATGCTGAAGATGTGTAATGAGCTCAAAGAAATGGTGCAACAAGCATCCAGGGAATTAAAGAAAGATATGAAAGGAACAGTGGAACGGACAGCTAATAAAATACAGAAAGAAATGAGAGCAGAAATTTAAAAAAAAAACTGACTGCTTCACTCGGGGTGAAGACCCCTCCCCACCCCAAGGGAACCAGCCCTGTAGTCATGAACCTCCAGAATTCATGCTCATGGCTTTTCCCTGCATGCTTGGGACAAGTCTCATGCACAAGTGAATCCCCAGAAACCCAGGTATGCGGGACTTTGTGACAGAGATCTTCTGCCCATATCCCCCCACTCCCACCCCCGAGTCCAGGAACTCAGTAGCTGCCCATAAGCCACCTCTGGCCGGTGCCTGATAATCTCCTCATTGGCCACCATCCAGATCACATGCTTTTCTCTCCCGGAAGGTAGCATAACATGAAACTCACCATACCCAGGCCGCTGGACTCCTCACCAAGCTGCTTCATTCTGGTGCCCCAGAGCAGGATAGGTGAGCCCCTCCCTGACCCAAGGGACTCAGCCCCAGCAGCCAAAACCCAACAGAACTCAACTGCCCCCATGTTCATGGCCATTCTCCTCATGCTCGGGCCAAGTCTCACCCAGGAGTGAACCAATAGGACACACCTCACCCATATTACAAGAGTAGCACACCACAATTGATGGGGTTCAAAGTAGGAAGCAACCTATCTTAGAGGGAATTTTTTTCTTTTTTTTACAGACTCTTAGGAGGGCTTAAAGGCATGAGATACAACAATCTGCACACTCTTTCCTCTAAGGATACTTTTTTGTAGCATTTTCAGTGGTTTTTCATAACAAACGATAGGAACAATATTATTTTTTGGTTCTGCTTTGGGACAGAGATTGAGGTTTGGGAGGGAAACATCCAAAATATGGTAATGGGAAGTGTAATGGTTGTGGTTTTGTTGTTTGAATATTAAATGTCATCAAATACTGTGAACTACTTTTTAAAATAAAAACATTTAAAACACTGTTCTCCCGTTGTTCATCGATTTGCTCAAGCAGGCCCAGTAACGTCTCCATTTTGAGAATTGTTGTTACTGTGTTTGGCATATTGAATACGTCACAGGTAGCTTGCCAGGCTTTGCTGTGTGGGCGAGATACTCTCGGTAACTTGCCGGGTTCTCCAAGAGAGGAGGAGGAATTGAACCCGGCTCAGCCAGGCTGGCTGCGTGCAAGGCAAATGCCCTACTGCTGTGCTATCGCTCCAGCTCAAATAACAGAAGTGTCACTAATAACGTATTCAGTAGATGAATTTAAAAACTAGTGAATGGCCTTAACAATAGAATGAAAACAGCCAAAGACAGAATGAGTGAGCTTGAGCATCAGCTCCAGAAATCATATAGGCAATAACATATAATGGAAAAAGACCTCAAAATAGCACTCGGACGAATAAGACACCTAGGGAATGAATACAAGAGGAACAGTATGAAAATCATCAGAGTACAAGAAGGACAGGGAGCAACCCCAATGAAGTAGTAACAGTTAAAGATATCATTGCTGAAAAGTTCCAGGAACTGGACAATACTATTTTTAAAAAAACAATAGTCAAAAGAAGCAGCTGGAATACTTTTTAACAGTCATGAACAAATCAGAACTTTCATGTTCTAGAAAACAAATCTGTCACAGTCTTGCCCTTTTATATCTCATCGTTGCTTATCCCCAAGGACTTCCAGCTGAAGATGCACAAAGTGCATGAAGTGCATAGCATGATACCTTTCTGATTCATCTTGGCAAAACTCTCAGGTGCTTTCATCACAATACTGAATAGTAATATAGATACCAAATATTTACTGACCGTACAAGCAAAATAAATTATTATTATTATTATTATTATTATTATGCATCACACCTGACGATGCACAGGGGTTACTCCTGGCTCATGCACTCAGGAACTACCCCTGGCAGTGCTCAGGGGACCACATGGGATGCTGGGTATCAAAACTGGGTCCACTGTGTGCAAGGCAAACGCCCTACCTGATGTGCTATTGCTCCAGCCCCCAAAGTAAATTATCTATCTTAATTTCCTTTTTCCTTTTTTTATTGAATCACCATGAGCTACACAATTACAAAGCCGTTCATTGGGCTTCAATCATACAATGTATCGACACCAATTCCTCTAGCAGTGTACACTTCCCATGAAATGTCCCAAGTTTTCCTCCCTCTGCCTCCATCCCAACCTCTATGGCAGACACTTTTCCCCTCTCTCTCCCTCTCTGCCTCTCCCTCTGTCCCTCTCCCTACCCCTTGTTCTCCTTCTCTCTCTCTCTCTCTCTCTCTCTCTCTCTCTCTCTCTCTCTCTCTCTCTCTCTCTTGTTTCTCTCTTCCCATCTCCCCCGCCTCTCTTTCTCCCTCTCCCTCTCTGTCTCTTTCTCTTCTTTTGATCATTATGGTCTGCAATACGGGTACTGAAAGGTTCTCGTGTGCATCCCTCCACCTCCCGTCAGCATCCAGCTCTCGTCCAGAGTGATCATCCCCAACTATCATTGTCAGAGAGGTCCCTTCTTTGTCCTCACTGCCCCCCCCCCTCGCCTTTCCTCACTTGCAGCAAACTTCCCACCATGGACCAGTTCTCCTGTCTCTAATTTCTACTGTCCATGAGTATTAGGAAAAAGCAAGTCATTTACCATAATTTTCTATATAACATACATAGCAAATCATCCCCCAAAGCCATGTTCAGGAGGCACTTAGAGGACTAGAAATGAAATGTAAATAGAACCCTCGAGCAGAAGCTTTGTATGTAGCCAGTTTCCTTCAGATAGAATATGTCTTGTGATTTTAACAAAATTTAAACATGGCATTTTGTAAAAGACAAATATGAAGTCTCACTAAGCATATTTAGTTTTTTAATTCGTAGGTTAAGGAGCAATACTAAAAAGAATTGCATTGGCTTTAGAAGAAAACTTTAAGAGACTATGAAGTGAAACTTTAAGAGACTATGTTATAAATAATTCTTTAACTAATGTACAATATCTCCCACATAGAAACTAAGATCAATATGAGCCTTATCTACATCTACAAGTCAATTTTCATTAGATAACATTTTTATTTACTTTTATTTGGACCAAATGATGTTTCTCATGTGAATTAAAATCATGAATGACACAGGCTTGAATTTAAAATTTATTTGCAATTTCTTCACAACAAACAGCATTGATTCTGATTTGAAAAATATAAGACAAGGACATCAAAGTTCAATTTGACACATCAACAATTTTATTTACAGAAATTTATTTTACAACTAAAATAAATTATATTTGTAAAATATATAAAATAACTCTAAATTTCTACTTTGGAAAATATTTCAGAAAAGATGATATGTACTTGAATAATAATCAATACCTTAAATTTTTCTGTCTTATTCATTTTAACCATATTGTAAGAGCAATATTTTAAAGAAAGGTTTACGGTACTTAAAATTGAAAAGTTTTCTTACCTTGCATTCATAGAGAACGCATACTCCAGAAGAAGAATAAACTGTGTTTCTTTCTCCTTCAAAGTAGGTTCGTCCTTGAAATTGGCAAATTGCTTTAAAATTAAAAATAAAGAATGTTTTTCATTTCTAATTTGAAAAAATAGCACTTTACAACAATACATGTTCATACACCTTTTCAATGCATTCAAGTGATCATAAACCTAAACTTAATCAAACACAACACACATGTAGGCGCAAGTTATTGCCATGCCCTGTAAATTCAGGGACTAATATAAAATACAAAGAGGATAAGAAAAATGAAAAGTCAAAATTAGATTCTGAAAAAGCTGTGTCGGAAAGCTGACTCTCAATTACTTGCCTGCTCTATGACATCCCACTTAAAGTATATTCATAGCTGGCATTAAAAAATACAAATAAGTGGCAAATAAGTTTATTTTTAACATACCATTTCACAATTATATATTAAGTCACCCTAATGCTGATGTTGAAAAGTCTTAATGTAGTCTGTTTTTATTTCATCACAATGAAATAAAATTTTAAAAGAAAAAATTTAGAAGGGCTGGAGCGATAGCACAGTGGTAGGACATTTGCCTTGAACGCAGTCAGCCCAGCCAAGCCGAGTTCGATCCCTCAGCCCCTCTCGGACAGCCCGGCAAGCTACCAAGAGTATCTCGCACGCACGGCAAAGCCTGGCAAGCTACTCATGATGTATTCAATATGCTAAACACAGTAACAACAAGTCTCATGATGGAGACGTTACTGGGCCCACTCGAGCAAATCAATGAAAAATGGGAGGACTGTGACCGTGAATTTAGAAACTATAATTTTTGAGACTACTTAGAAATGTTTAAAATTGACGCAGACGTTTAGCTTGTGGAACTTGATAGCTTACTTTGAAATAAATATTTCTCACTATGCGTGTTCACTTATCTAAAGGGCTTATCTAAACAGACAGATAAATCTTCAATATCCACAGATTTGGAAATTTTTTAAAAATATGAACCATTGTGAAGGCACTCACTATAGCAGTTCCTTAGACCTAAGTAACCCCAATGTTGTTACTCAAAAAATTGGTAAAAGTGATTCTGGGTAGGAAGAGATTCAATCAACATAATAAGCTTACTTTTATTTTGTGTTGTTATCTGTTTTTTGGTGCTACACCCAGTGGTACTCAGGACTCAGTCCTAGCTCTGTGTTCAGGGATCACTCCTGGCAGAGTGATTAATGCTCAAGGGCCCATATGGATCACTGGGCATTAATCCCATGTCTACACATGAAGGTAAGGGCCATACCTGCTATACTTCATCTCAGGCCATATGCCTACTTACTAAGTACAATGTGTAATTTTAACTACATAAATTTTATAAATCGATATGTGCTTTCTTTTTACTTCTCTAAAGTATAATTTACAAAGTTTTAGCATCTTCAGGTTTAATATATTCCTAAAGCATCAAGTTGCCTTCAATAATCAATGACAAAGAAATTAGACCTACATTTATTAATAACAATGAACATGCATACAGTTACACGGATTCATAGTTAAAGCATAACTCAGATTTCATCTTAATTAAAAATGTAACTGATTATTTAGAAGCTACATATTCAAATGATGGAAAGTATGCACATTTTTAAAATGCCATCTTTCAACTAATGTACTTACTCAGCTTATATTAACAAACTTTGCTACATGATATATCTCACTAATGAATTGATTTAAAATTTTTGGAGCTTGCTGGGAAAGAATACAACTTACTTGCATAAATTTCATTACTTAAAAGCTGGCTAAAGCTTGCTCACTCATGAATATTCAAAATTAAACTACAGATTTGTCAGTTACAGTCTAGAATATTGTGTATTAAATGCCATGTGCATTTACTTAATGAAAATTGATTATAAAATATATTTCCCGACATTGAAGCTAATGGTATCTTCAAAGATGCCACGCCACTGGCCGAGCAAGTGAAAACAGAGATAGATAAATGGGACTATCTTAAACTAAGAAGCTTCTGCACCTCCAAAGAAACAGTGACCAAAATACAAAGACAGTCTACAGAATGGGAAAGGATATTCGCCGAATACACATCTGACAAGGGGTTGATATCCAGGATATACAAAATACTGGTTAAACTCCACAAGAAGAAAACATCCAACCCCATCCAAAAATGGGGCAATGAAATGAACAGAAACTTTCTCAAAGAAGAAATCCGAATGGCAAAAAAGCACATGAGAAAATGCTCTACATCATTAATCATCAGAGAGATGCAGATCAAAACCACAATGAGATACCATCTCACACCTCAGAGACTGGCCCACATTCAAAAGAACAAAAGCAACCGATGCTGGCGTGGATGTGGCGAGAAAGGGACCCTCCTTCACTGTTGGTGGGAATGTCCACTGGTTCAGCCCTTCTGGAAAACAGTATGGATGATTCTCAAAAAATTAGAAATTGAGCTCCCATTTGACCCAGCAATACCACTCCTGGGAATATATCCCAGAGAGGCAAAAATGTATAGTCGAAGTGACATCTGCACTTGTTTGTTCATTGCAGCACTCTTTACAATAGCCAGAAACTGGAAGAAACCTGAGTGCCCAAGAACAGATGACTGGTTAAAGAAACTTTGGTACATCTACACAATGGAGTACTATGTAGCTCTTAGAGAAGATGAAGTCATGAAATTTACATACAAGTGGTACAACATGGAAAGTATCATGCTAAGCGAAATAAGTCAGAAAGAGAGGGATAGACATAGAAATATTGCATTCATCTGGGGGATATAAAGTAACAAAATATGAGATTCATACCCAAGAATAGCTGAGATCAGCACCAGGATGATTACTCCATAACTTAGAGGCCAGCCAGGCATTCTAGAGGAAAGGGCAGCTCAGATAGAGAAGGGAACACCAAATAAAGGGTGTTTGGAGGATCCTCCCAGGAGGGGAGATGCATGTCGAAAGTAGACTATGGACTGAACATGTTTGCCACTCAATTCCTCTTTTGCAGACCACAACACACAAAAGGAGAGAGAGAACACAGGGGATTGCCCTGCCACAGAGACAGGGGGGAAGGGGGGATGGGGGTTGGAGGGATATTATCCATGGTGGTGGAAAATGGGCACTGGTGGAGGGATGGGTATCTGATCATTGTATAATTGAAACCAGAGCACAAAAAATTGTAAATCTACAACTGTAAAAAAAAATAAAATAAAATAAAGGGAAAAAAATTAATATAACAAAAAAAAAACAAAAAAAACAAAAACAAAGAAAAAGAATGGACATGAACTCCACTCCATTCTTTTTTAAAAGTTAAAACCACTCTTTAGAGAGAACAAAAGGGAATGCCCTGCCACAGAGGCAGGGTGGGTTGGGATGGAAGGGGGGGTTGGAAGGGTGGGAGGGATACTGGGATCAGTGGTAGTGGAGAATGGGCACTGGTGGAGGGATGGGTGTTTGATCATTGTATAACTGAAACCCAAGCTCAAAAATTTGTAAGTCTACAACTGTACCTCATGGTGTTTCACTAATAAAAATTTTTTAAAAAAGTAAAAAATATATATATATATTTCCCACTTTTTAAATTAGGGTTTTTTAATGATACAGTAACCTTGAAATATCGAGATCAATCATAATGTGGGCTCAACTATACTTAATATCATATTTTATAAGAAATGAGAATAAAAGAAATCTATTCTGTTCAATACCTGAAATTCACATATTTCTAAACCATGATATTTACTTGCTAACTGCAATCTATTCAATTCTAATGGTATGTTAAGGAAGAATATTTTCGATTCTAAAGACTCTTTAATTCTTTCTTAGAACAGAGGGGAAAAAACATTGTTAAAACACAAGGGAAAGATCTCCTTATATGTTCTTATGACAATTTAATATTCATGCAGTGCAGATGGACCTTCTGTTCTAAACCCTTAATTCAAAAGACTCAAATAGACAAGTTGTGGGACAATAGGGAACCAAATGGAGCTTGGCAGGAAGAGAAAGTCCAGAAATGAAGGAGATCACAGCCACTTCATTTCCTCTCGAGCAAACAGGAGTACAAATGGAATGAATTTAGGGAGAACCCAAAATTACTGATGTTTTTTGGTCTCTTTTTTTATAATTAATGGCTATGACTCTCCATAATCTTATGGTTTACCTTATATACTTAAAAATACCATGGAAATATGGCTAATCTATACTTCATAGAGAATGTTTTTTAAAGAGACTCAGAAGGGTTAGAGTCATTTCACAAATACTACTGTCACTACCACTGTCCTCCCGTTGTTCATCGATTGCTCGAGTGGGCCCAGTCACATTGTCAAACTTGTTGTTACTGTGTTTGGCATATCGAATACGTCACAAGTAGCTTGCCAGATAATACTAGAAACTATGAAAATCATCTGGCAGCTTAGAGTAGATTGAAGGAGTGGAGAAGTCAAATAAATTTATTACTACTTTTAACCACATTAGGTAGGTCCTTCCTCAAGTGATATTCTGCTAGGGACTGATATCCAAAGTTAAGACACGACTCACACTATCACACTTCATTGGACAGACTCATATGCAACTATTGGTAAAACTGTTATCTGGTTAGGTTTTGGTAAAACAGTTAGGAGAATTCTCAAAAAAATTAAGATTAGAAGTCTCATATGACTCAGCAATTTCCTTCAATGCATCTACCCCAATAACATGAATAAATAAATGAATCCATAAGTATATATGCATACTTGAATTCATTGCACACTATTTACCACAGACAAGATCTGGAAGCAATTTAGGAGTCCAAGAGATGAGGGAATAATGAAATTGTGATATATATATATATAGATATATATGGGAATATTATTTAGCTACTAGAAAAGATGAAAACTTGCAGTTTGCTGAAACTTGGAGGAAACTGGAAGGTGACATGCTAAGAAAAATGAGTTACAAGGCAAATACCTGCTGATCTCCCTTATAAGTGGAGTACATAAAAGCAAAGCAAGTGAAGAGCAAATCCTTAAGGGAACTTCTGGATATTGTCCACAGTGGAGAGGTGAGAGAAGGAAACTTTAACACTGTTGCTGACACTGGTGGTGCAGAAAGTTTAGGCACATTG